TTTGGGCCCGTTTTAACTTCTGTTGAAAGATTATTTGTAGTTTTGTTTGCATTGCTGGACTATTACTACTGTTACATTTGAACAAACAAAAAAAATATTACATGAAACTCATACACAAAACAAATTTATTTGAGTCAAACAGAAATATCCTATGTACATCCAGCAATGTAAATTTTATGTTTTTCTCTGATACCTGTCACTGTATGTCAAAGTATGTATGATAAAAATAACAGAAATTAATTCTAATATTTGATTTTGTTATAATGGTATTAATTGTTTGGTTAAAACAGTGACAGCTATCATTTAGCCCTTTGGTTGTGGTTATTCTGTTTAGTTTGCATGTATTTGTGTTTTTGTGTCGTTAGATGAATCCTCCTTAGATGATTCGGCCTTGAGCACCGAGTCTAGTGACCAAGTCTCTGAGAGTGCAGGTGCACCAGAGTCCCAGGCTGACCAGCCTAAACCGAAGCCACGACCTAGAAAAGAGGCTTCCTCACCTCCCTTGTCACGTTCTGGTAGGTTACGATAACACACAGGAGATTGTATCTCCACTCATCTTGTATCAGGGATGCCATATAATCAGGAACTGTAACTCTGTAAACAAGGGCATGGATCATCTATACTTTTGTAGATCTTATGTGTTGCATGTACTAAAGTAAAATGCTTGTGTAGTTTGTAAAGCACATGTTTTATTAACTGGCATGGATTTGATGTTTAGACACTAACCTGTTTACAGAAGTGCCTGAGAGTAAGCCCACTGACTCACCTCGGGGTAAAAAACCAGTCCGAAAGGAACGCGAAATAACCAGCGAGCCCCTACAAGAGGCTGAATCGGCCCGCCTCAGTCCATATGACTTACCCATGTCTAGTAAGATTGGTAGCTTTTGCTTGATACCCACTGCTTCAGATGTACAGGTTTCTGTAGCAATGCTAGCTTTGCCAAATGTGAAGTTTGATGTACTTTTGATCAAAATGATTTCAATATCTCTGAAAGAATAAATAGATTTTTCTTTTGATCTTTTTTAAATGAAATAATATTATTTGTTAAACAAAGTAAAGATTTATTGCAAAATATCAAGAAGTTAGCAATATCGCTTAAAGTTAGACTTGGCATAGAATGGCTTCAAAGCTTATATTTATTATCCAATTATGTTTTCCTATGGCATCAGGAATTATTTCAAAGGTTCAAGGATTTTCCTTCCCTTTAATTTTCCAGTTATGTTCGAAACATCCTGTTATTTCAAAAACAGTTTATTAAGGCAAGCTGTTGAGAGGTCTAAGGATTTTCCTACCCATTAATTATTTTGAGGTACCCTGTTATTTTAAAAACAATTTTTATGCTGTTGAGAGGTTTTCCTAGTATAAAATGGTGAGAAGAGAATTTTTTTTTTTTTAACCTTGATAGTATGTTCCTGCATCTCCGAGGCTGCAATGGTCAGATGAGGTTTTAGTATTCTTACTTATGATAGATTCCGGGGATTTTATTCTAAAGGAAGGGTTTGCCTGTATTTTATTTCTGGAGGCATGATTCTGTCTTGTGGTTTATATGGAGAAGGGTGTATATAATATCTGATCTAACACTCTCTGGTTGTCTCCATTAGCTAAAGACAAGAAACGAACTCGCTCACTCTCTCCCTTTCGGAAACTGTTTTCTCGTAAGCGTGACAGAGGCCGTAGTAAGACAGATGTTATTGTCCTGCAAGGTACAGAGATCAACAAAGCAGTGTACTCATGCTAACAATGCTGTATTTATTTATTTATTCATGTATACCAAAATGTCTATATATCTTATGAACATGTTTATCTTATATTTTAGATTTCTTAACTAATATTTTAGGAATATTTTGACTAACCTGGCTTTTTATGCTGATTGGAAATGTCTCACAATTTGTAAAATTAATAATAAATTTCAGTCTTCTTTAATATTTTTGAACTCTGTTTGTAGAATTACCATCGACTAGTACTGAGTCTATCCACCATGAAGGTACTCTGACAAGAAAACATGACTGGGAGCACGAGAACAAGAAAGCCCACAACAGGTACTGTCTCTTATCATGTCCAGCCTTGTAGTTTACTCAGAAGGGATCGTTATTTTTGTTCATTATCTCATATTGCTGAACAGTGTAGCAGATCAGTGATAGATAACTTTGAAATTCCATTTGCTTGACCGAAAAACTTCAGTGTAAAAAAAATTTCTGAGATAAACTGTGGCATTTTATGTTTGTTTCTTTGCAGATCATGGGACAAGGTGTATGTAGTTCTCAATGGAAATGTGTTGTCATGTTACAAAGACAAGAAGATAGCCAAACAGGTATAACATTACAGAAAGTACTAAGAGTTTATCACAAATGTAGATATTATTCTTGTCAAGTAAATTTTACTTACAGTCAGCATACATATATGGTATAACAGAAAAACATGAGCTGTGATAGCTCTTTAACTGACTTTAATTGTCTCTTCCTTGTAAAATTTTTTGGTGGTAAAAATACATTGTCTTTCTCGTGTTTTAGGATCCTGGCAGTTTGATCCACCATGAACAACCAATCAACTTATCAGGTGCCCAGTGTAGCAGAGCCACAGATTACACCAAACGGCCCCATGTGTTCCGACTCAAGCTCACCAATGGAGGAGAGTACCTGTTCCATGCTAAAGATGATGTAAGAATTCTAGACAAAGCTTTCTTCTAAGAATTTATTGTATCACTGCAAAGTAAACCAATCAAAATATTCTTAGGTGGTCCTAAAGGAATTCACCATTTTAAAATTTATCCACATTTTCCAACTACTATACATCAATGGAATAACTTTGGAAAAAAAAACCGTTCTCTTGATGCCTTTTTGATGTATTGTTAATTGTAAATTTACAGGGAGAAATGGACTTGTGGATTCAGAAAGTCAATTCAGTGACAGGAGCAGAGGGCACAAGTGTTCCCTCCAAATCTATGACTCTTCCAGCTCGCATGGAGGGCGAGAAGGAGGGCAAGAAAAAGAAATCAGGCTTCCTTACTTTGAAGAAGAAATAGACAACCACACTATACTAGGACTTTATTCTATTGAATCTCGGAGAGAGACGGTTTTAGAAATGGAGATTTGGATTCATATTTAAACTTTTAAAAGTGTTGAAAGGGATGTAGTATTAAAATGGATTTTTTTAACTTATTTATATTTAAATTTTTTTGTACACTTTAAATCCTTTAAACAGATTACATAAAATCAAATAATTGTGTTAAAGATTTCATGAAAGGATATATGTTTACTGTGTGTAGTCCATTTTAATGTATCGTTAAGGTTGCCTCTTCATTTTGTCACTTTGCTCCTTATTGGGGTTTTCCTCTTGGCATTTGGACCAATTAAATATTTAGGTCTGAATATGAGTGATTGATTGCATTAAAAAGGGCATTTTAGACCTTTATGTGTTGTGCTTCTATTGCAAATCCTCCTAGATGATTTGTCCTCATCTGTGGTATATTACATAACATTTTCATTAAGTGCCATGAAGGATGTGTGTAAGAAATAGTCCTCATCAGTGGCAGAAGTAGGAATATAGAGAGAAGTAGCCATAGCTGATGTAGAATTTCAATGTATTCTGGGAAATGTGCATTATTGGTGTCTTCGTCTACAGTCGTGATTCCATATAACCATGTAGATAACGATCATAAATGTTCTCTTTGAAGAAATTCTGGATTTTTTTCTATTTGGTTAATCTCTTATATGACTGCCTTTATAAATGTGTATCTTTGCATTATGTAATAACTGCACTTTATGTACAGATGTTGTTTATACCTTTACTGAACAATTATATTTCTTTTTAAAAAGTGATTATTTAAGATTTTGCTTTCTATGAACTAAATTTGTTGTGCAGATAATAATTAACAGAGCAGCTAGTTATTGTTTGAATAATGCTTATTTTGTAGTTGAGTTTTTGTTTTTTTTATTATAAATCACTTCCCAAGATATATTTGTCAGTTTTACAGTTCTGTAGAAGTAGTTCATCACTTGTAGTTTTAACCACCTTCTTTATCAGAATGAGCATGTATATCTGCTTGTCTAAAAAAAAAACAAGTCCTCTATACCGGTCATCTTGCCCTTCAGAAAAATGTGTTACTTAGTGTCTCATTATTTCATTTGCTTGAAAAGTGGTGTCACATACAGACTTTATGTTCAAGTACTTTTTATTTGGCATTCATAAGGATCCTTGTTCTTAGCTTGCTTCAAGGAAGGTGACAGGCTTCAGATTTTTTTAAAATAATGCTTAAATCATGAATCAGTTGAAAATAAAATGATTGAAAATTATTAAATGTTTGTCATCACTAATACACCAGGAAAATAGTCACTAATGCATTTATGGAATGCCCTGAATGAGTGACAGATATTCTGACAGCATGCCTATTGTTAGATAGTAGTAAATTTTTGGATAGAAGCATGAAAGATCAATTTTGATTGAAATGGAAAAGTACATTGTAAGAAGAGAGGTGAAAGAAATGCCTATGGTGAGACAAATAAGGTCAACAATTAAATCATGATTATTATTTTTTATCAAACATAACTGTGCATATCAATGGGTTTTCGCTCTATATTTCTAGGTCACAGAAAACTCTTACCATCCATTTTTAGGTCACCTGAGTAAACTCAGGTGACCTATTGCTATCTGTTTTCGTCCGTCGTCGTGCGTCGTCCGTTAACATTTGAACATTTTCAGCTTCTTCTCTGCAACCACTGAACCAATTTCAACCAAATTTGGCACAAAGCATCTATGGGTGAAGGGGAACAAAAATTGTGAATTTCATGGTCCCTGCCCCCCTGGGGCCTGGGGGGTGGGGCAAAAACCACTAAAATTAATGCAATCTTTAAAAATCTTCTTCTTTACTCCTGGACATCAAGCAGTTAAACTGTTTGTATGATTGTAACCAGCATTGAGTCCTCTACCAAAATTGTGAAATTTATGGCTCCAGGGTCAGGGGTTCTAGTGCTAGGGTGGGGCTAAATAAGTATATAGTGAAAATGTATTATTTCTTTGAAAATCTTCTTCTCTGCTCCTGGGTATTAAATAAACTAACTAAGTGCATAGTTATGATGAGCAAGAGTGCCTCTACCAAAATTGTGAATTTTATGGCCCCAGGGTCAGGGGTTCTAGTGTTAGGGCGGGGCTCTATAGATTATATAGTGAAAATTCATGAATTCTTTGAAAATCTTCTTCTCTGCTGCTGAGTATTAAATAAACTAACTAAGTGCATAGTTATGATGAGCAAGAGTGCCTCTACCAAAATTGTGAAATTTATGACCCCGGGGTCTGGGGTTCTAGTGCTAGGGTGGGGCTAAATAAGTATATAGTGAAAATGCATTATTTCTTTAAAAAACTTCTTCTCTGCTCCTGGGTATTAAACAAACTAACTAAGTGCATAGTTATGATGAGCAAGAGTGCCTCTACCAAAAGTGCGAATTTTATGGCCCCAGGGTCAGGGGTTCTAGTGTTAGGGCGGGGCTCTATAGATTATATAGTGAAAATTCATGAATTCTTTGAAAATCTTCTTCTCTGCTGCTGAGTATTAAATAAACTAACTAAGTGCATAGTTATGATGAGCAAGAGTGCCTCTACCAAAATTGTGAAATTTATGGCCCCAGGGTCAGGGGTTCTAGTGTTAGGGTGGGGCTCTATTGATATACTGGAAATACATGAATTCTTTGAAAAAAATTCTTTTCTGCTCCTAGGAATTAAATAAACTAAGTACATAGTTATGATGAGCAAGAATACCTCTTCCAAAATTTTGATTTTATGGCCCTAGGGTCAGGGGTTCTAGTGATAGGGTGGGGCTCTATTGATTATATAGTGAAAATACATTAAATCTTTGAAAAATTTTCTTCTCTGCTCTTGGGTATAAAGCAGATGAACTACCTATGTAGTTATGGTGAGCAAGGATCCTAATCTTCCAGAATTGTGAATTTCAAGGCCCCAGGGTCAGGGGTACCGTGGGGGGGGGTGTACTTATATACTGAAACTGGATGAATTGTTTGAGATCTGCTCCTTGGTATTAATCAAATATTATTGAAAAGCAAGGGTGCCTTTTCAAAAATTGTGCAATGTGTGGATCTAGGCCTAAGGGTCAGGGGTTCATGTGTGATAGGGGCATTACTGATTATTGCTGAATATTACTGATTACTTGAAATGCAATTTTTTGTTCCCCCACCCAGCCTATGGGTATTAAGTAAACAAACTAAGCAACTGCTAAGTGTATTGTTATGATGATCAAATGGTGCTTCTTTCAAAATTGTGAATGCCATAGCATCTTGCTTAAAACATTAATCAAATTAAATTGCTGGAAAGTTGTTGCATAATGCTCAGGTGACCTATAAGGCCCATGGGCCTCTTGTTGTTCAAAGTTGTTATTTGAGCTCCTCCTCTGGAACAAACGAATGAATTTTCACCATTTATAGCATAAACTTGCCGAAAGGTCCCTGCTCCCCCCTGTGAGCAGAAAGGAGTTTAAAAAGAAAAATAATGCTATTTCATTATAATTATATTATAATCAATAGAGTCACACCCCTTGCCACTCCTCACTCTGGAGTCAAACTTTTTCCACAATTTTAGAGGTGTGCTTGTTCACCATAAACTAATGTAGCTAATTTTTAATATGGGGGAGAGAAGATAATTATAAAAAAAAATTCTGATTATTAGAACCCTACTATAACTACAGAGCCTCTGATTCTACAGCCATGAATTTAAAGCTTTTTCCTATGTGTTCTTATGTAAAACTTGGATCATCCATTGTGGCCTCATCATAGCCCCAGGAGTCAACATTAGAATAAACTTGACTCTTCACTACCAAAGATTTTTAAAAGATAGAAAACTGATCACCCATAGTGACCCCACCCTAACCCTGAAGGTCATGGTTTAAACAAACTTGAAGAAACTTCAATTTTTTATTTTTAAATTTTTTCCCTATAAAATTTTTAAGTAAAACTTTGATCCAACTGGCCTGCCCCCATAGTGGCATCCACCCTACCCCTGGTGTCATGATTTAATAAATTTAAATCTACCAGGTATACTTTGTGAAGAAAGTTTCCTATAAGTTTTAACTTGTGTTTAAATGTTCACTATTTCATAATTATCTCCCTTTGAATGAGGACATGGGCCTTTTTTTGTAAAAACTTTATTTCCTTTACCCATTGATACTTTTAGGCAAGTTCGGTTGTAATTGGTCCAGTGGCTCTGGAGAAAAAGTCAAGAATGTGAAAAGTTTACAAAGGGACAGCCAGACCGACAGCTTTATGGACAGACAGACCACAGACAAAATGTGATCAGAAAAGCTCTCTTGTATTACAAGTATTACCGGGGTATATAAAACTTTAAATAGGAAAAAATTCTAAGCATAATACATGTACTAGTAAACAGTTATGTCAAAAGTCAAAGCAATATTCAGATGACCTGAAAATCAGATGATTTTTGAAAACCTCTTTCTCAATAACAACAGGATCAATGTAATTAAAACGAGCATTGTGGCCTCATTGTCTTTTTTTAACAATAATCTTTTTTTAAGAGGGTGACAAAGTTGCCTCTGAAAATAATGATTTTGCACATCATTTCAGCAAAATACTGCATTGCACATCATTTCAGCAAAATACTGCACTAAAAAATACCAAAACTGAAAATACCACTGCTAGTAATTACCAGGGGTGATCAAAAAGTTCGCAAACTATCTCTATATCTAGAAAACCACAGTTCAGATTTGAATGAAATTCAGTACACACATAGCCATACACAAGTTCTATAAATAGCATATGCTGAATAAAGTTTCTCTCCTTGTTTGTGACGTCACAATGTGAAAATGACGTCACTATTTAGGTCACTTGTGAAGAAAAATGGTTGTCTCAGTCGAACTCGTTAAACAAACGACTGTACAATTTATTGTATAACTTAGAAATCCCTCTACAGTATCATATAATAATTTGTACACAGTTTATTGAGATAAATTAGTTTCTATAAATTCAATTAATAATTGGATTAATCGTTTTAGTGAAGGAAGGCTGATGGTTAAAAATGATACTTGTCATCTTGTCCAGTGAAAGCAAGTTTGAAAAGATATGTATTTTTAATTAAGCAATTTGCAATCAATGACCTCCAATTAGCACTTTGAAAAATAGTTGAATATTTGAACAATGATATAATTATTAAATACCTAAGATATCGTTTACTTTAGATTTTAAACATATTAGATATGATAAAAAGGATGCACCCATTCTCTATCCACCTTGAATAAAGGTCTCTCCTGAGACAGAAGATTTGTGTTTTAATGGTCGCCATGCTTATTTTTGGAAAGGATATTATTATCCACCCATTCTGTTGACGAGATATGACCATTTCCTACAAATGAACTGTTCTAGTCATAAAAATGAACTCACATGGAAAGAAATATAAAACTCAGAAAAATCTTTCAACTTTTGTGACAGAACGCTACGGAGGGGGTCACGTGACCGCCAATATCACGTGATTCGCGCATGCGCAGAACGGTGGTTGATGTGCATTAAATTTGGGGAGGATTAATTTAAAATATAATCAACATTAAAACCAAATATTGTTTCTTATATGGAAGTTATTCAATTAGTTTGTGAACTTTTTGATCACCCCTCGTATTTAAAGAGATTTGAATTTTCGTGATCAAGCCTTTCTTTGATTTGTTGTTGGTTCACGGTGAGAATTATTCGCAATATCGAGGCTCTCGCACATGATCAAGTTGGTTTACAGAATGTCATAACATTTAATACCAAAACTTCTCCTCTGCTTTTAATGGCTTGGAACCTTCTGCTTGAAAAAACATGCAGATATGTTAATTCAAGCAGGCAGCATTAAAAGTTTTGCTCTTTTTAAATTTCTTCCTTTCTTTTTTTTTCTTCCTTTCTTTTTTGGGTTACTTTTTAGCTCACCTGAGCTGATGGCTCAAGTGAGCTTTTGTGATCACATTTTGTCTGGCGTCTGTCTGTCTGTGAACTTTTCACATTTTCGGCTTCGTCTCTAGAACCAGCGGGCCAATTTCAACCAAACTCACAAAGCATCCTAGGGTGAAGGGGATTCAAGTTTGTTCAGATGAAGGGCCACACCCTCATTCAAGGGGAGATAATTCAGAAATAGTGAAAATTTGGTGGCATGACTTAAAAGTCTTCTTTTATAGAACCACTGTGCCAGGAAAGATGAAAATATATTGGAAAATTCTTTATAAAATCTTCTCAAGAATAAAAAAGCCATGATTGGTCATATTGAATGAAAGGATTCTCGGGTAGTGTAGATTCAAGTTTGTTCAAATCA